TTAAAAGTAGAAAGTTTGATTTTAACCAAAAATTAATAATTTTCATATCATTATTAAATTATCACCTGAGAAAATGATACACGGATCGTAACTAAATATTTTCCAGAAAATTTAATTTTCAAAAAGTGATTAATACATAAAAAAACAAAATTGGGCCTAAGACTGTACCTTGGTACTCCCGTTCAACGTGTATTAGATAGTTGTTAAGTTACTTTTCTTACGCTTCCCTTGCATGGCTTATTCAAAGCTAGGTAATTACTTAAAATGAGAGAAAAAAACGTGTTGGTCTTGTCAATGTGCCTTAGATTGTGTCCTATAATTCTGTTCTTTCTTAGTTTTTTAATCTAATTTATGCAGTGTATTAGATAGTTTGTATGTTACTTTTCCTACGCATGCCTTGTATGGCCCATTCAAAGGGAGGTAATTACTTAAAAAGAAGAGAAAAAAGTGGGTTTGTCTTATCAATGTGCCTTAGATTTTGTCCTATAATATTATTCTTTTTATGTTTTTTTTTTAAATTTTTTAATTTAATTTGTTTAGTATATCAGATCATTTTTAAGTTACTTTTCTTACTCATATCTTGTATGGCTCATTCAAAGGGAGGTAAATACTTAAAATAAGAAAAAAATGTGTTGGTCTTGTCAATGTGCCTTAGATTGTGTGCTATAATAATGTTCTTTCTTAGTTTTTTAATCTAATTTATGCAGTGTATTAGATAGTTTGTATGTTACTTTTCCTACGCATACCTTGTATGGCCCATTCAAAGGGAGGTAATTATTTAAAAATAAGAGAAAACAGTGGGTTTGTCTTATCAATGTGCCTTAGATTTTGTCGTATAATATTATTCTTTTTTATGTTTTTTTTTAAGTTTTTTAATCTAATTTGTTTAGTGTATTAGATCATTTTTAAGTTGCTTTTTTTACTATGTCTTGTATGGCTCTTTCAAAGGGAGGTAATTACTTAAAATGAGAGAAAAAAGTGGGTTTGTCTTATCAATGTGCCTTAGATTTTGTCCTATAATACCGTACCTACAATATTTTCCAGAGAATTTAATTTTTAGAAAATCATTAATATATAAAAGAAACAAAATCGGGCCTAAGAATGTACCTTGCAATACTCCCGTTCAACTTGTAATGAAGAACTATAAACTGCTCCAACCTTTGTGACTACATTTCTGTCCGATAAATTGGATTCAAGGATTTTAAGGAGAATATTAGAGATACCACTACACTCATGTTTTTTAGCATCAACTTATGATCAACAGAGTCGAAAGCTTTTTTAAGATCCGATAACGTAATTAACTTTATCAATTTCTTGTGAAATCAAATTACTAACATCAAAGCCTGCTCAGTGGAACCGCCCGGAAGAAAACCATAATGTTTTGGTGAAATTATTCTACTTTCAATAAAGAAGTAATCTATTTTTAATTGTTTTTTTTTCTAGCATTTTTGATATGGATAAAGTGACATTTAATGAGATAGGCCTATAGTTTTGAACCATATTTAAATAATGGATTACTAGGTTTTTTTTAAATCCCTAACATAACCTGTTTTTCGGTTTACACGGTTTATTTTAGCATTGCACTTCTAACCTTGACATATTTTATAAATTTTAACCGGTTCTTTCTCTCTTTGGAAGTATCTCTCTCCTCGTGGCATAAAATCACCCACTGGACCCGGGAAAAGTTGCGTTGCGACCCAGGAACCTACTCAGGTTCAACACGTAGAACAAATGAGAAACAAAAGAATTACAATGATTATTAGTTTCGGCAATGGATACCAACAGATGTCTGGTATGAGTCAGAGAATGGTCGAAGTCGTGAGAGTGAAATCTTTGAGAGGGCGTATTTTCCTCAGGCAAATCTTCTAATCTGTAAGCCTTTTTTTAACTAATAAGTTAAACCATTTCTATTAACATCTGACCGAAAACTTGTAAATTCCGTTGTATTTTTAACTAAAAAAACAAAAAATATACAGTCGATCGATTTGCTTAAACGACTGGAACAGTATCGGGTCGAGGCGAACTCCATCATCACGATATTTTTGCGGTCCCGCGGCGCGTTCTCAACAATGGACTTAATGTACCAGCGCAGCGGCAATTCTAAATGGAAATGAACCGAGTCAGTCGTCGTGGTATGTTTGCACCACTCGACCATTATCCTCCGTCGCGACACGTACACCGTATCGAATCGGGACATTTTTTCCTTTCCGAGCCTTTGTTTTGGCATGTATTTAAATATCCAACATTATTCATCACACCGTCCAACTCGAAGGGTGCTTCGTCGCCCTCATCTCATGCCAGAAGACAAGGGTGTTGGGACGAGGCTTGAGATAATGTCAGCATAATTTATTGACCTCTTAACGAGCTAGAAAATAAACAATAACCGAATAAAGGGTGCTGTACATGTTTCACAAATAGCACAAAAACGTTCCTTATTACAATAAGAAATTGTTTACCTTTCAATTACCTACAATAATCGCGAAAAACTATCTACAATGACCTACTACTTTTTATGATTTTTTCATACAAGCAGTTAAATCGCTTTATCTTATTGAGTAAATAAAAGAAGGGCTAGACTAGTTCGAAAAAAAAATTAAAAACTATCCATACACTTAATAAATTAGCTTAAATTTGTTATTATTTTACCTAAGATGTTTTCCCACGGTATTATTTTTTTAGTGCGTCTCGTATGCCCTATTCAAAGGGGAGTAATTACGTAAAATATGAAGAAATGTCGGCTGGCCTCGTCAATGTTGCCCAATTTTTTTACTATAATACTATTCTTTTGACCTAATTTATTAACAGAATTAAATTTATATTTTAAACTTATTTTCGTATGTGTGTCTTGCATGACCTTTTCAAAGGGAGGCAATTACTTAAAAAAAGAGAAAACGTGTGCTTGTCTAGGCAATTTGCCTTAGATTTTGTCCTATAATAATGTACTTTTTAGTGAGGTTTATTATCTAATTTATTCAGTGTATTAGATAGTTTTTTAAGTTACTTTTCTTACGCATACTTTGTATGGCTCATTCAAAGGGAGGTAATTACTTAAAAAGAGAAAAAAAATTGAGTTTGACTTGTCAATGTGTCTTGATTTTTTCTTTCAATACTGATCATTTTAGTGAGATTTATTATCTAATTTATTCATTGTATTAGTTGTTAAGTACTTTTCTTACGCATGTCTTGTATGGTTCATTCAAAGTGAGGTAATTACTTAAAAGGAGAGAAAAAATTGTGTTTGTCTTGTCAATCTGCGTTAGATTTTTTCTAACAATACTGATCTTTGGTTTATTATCTAATTTATTCAGTGTATTAGGTGGTTTTTAAGTTACTTGTCTTTCGCATGTCTTGTATGCCTCATTCAAAGGGAGGTAATTACTTAAAAAGAGAGAAAAAATTGTGTTTGTCTTGTCAATGTGCCTTAGATTTCTTCTAACAATACTGATCTTTTAGTGAGGTTCATTATCTAATTTATTACGTCTATTAGATAGTTTTTAAGGTACTTTTCTTACGCGTACTTTGTATGGCTCATTCAAAGGGAGGTAATTACTTAAAAAGAGAGAAAAATTGTGTTTGTCTTGTCAATGTGTCTTAGATTTTTTCTTACAATAGTTATCATTTTAGTGAGATTTATTATCTAATTTATTCATCGCATTAGTTGTTAAGTTAGTTTTCTTACGCATGTCTTGTATGGTTCATCCAAAGTGAGGTAATTACTTAAAAGGAGAGAAAAAAATTGTATTTGTCTTGTCAATGTGCCTTAGATTTTTTCTAACAATACTGATCTTTTAGTGAGGTTTATTATCTAATTTATTCAGTGTGTTAGATAGTTTTTAAGGTACTTTTCTTAGGATGCCTTGTATGACTCATTCAAAGGGAGGTAATTACTTGAAAGAAGAGAAAAAATTGTGTTTGTCTTGTCAATGTACATTAGATATTTTCTAACAATATTGATCTTTTTGGTGATAGTTTTTAAGTTACTTTTCTTCCGCATGTCTTGTAAGCCTCACTCAAATGGTAAATAATTACGCTGAAAGGTTCAACAAGTTGGCCAGTCTTGTCAGTGTTACATAAGATTTTTTTCTTATGATATTTTCCTTTTGGGTGCGGTTTTGAACTAATTTAACAACTGTATTAGATAGTTTATAAGCTTTTTTCTTGTGTATGTCTTGTATGGCTCATCCAATTCTAGGTAATAACTTTAAAAATAGAACAAAACATTGGCTAATCTTGCCAGTCACTTAAGAAAATTTCTTATGCTATTGTGTTCTTCAGTGCGGTTTTTGTATCTAATTTATTAAGTGACTTAGATGGTTTTTAAGCTTCTTTTAAAATGTGCGTCTTCTATGGCTCATTCAATGGAGATAATTACGTGAAAAAGAGATTAAACCTTGTCAAGTTACTTGTGATGGTTTCTTATATTTTTGTCAATTTTTTATTGTAGTTTTTATTAAATATGTTAAGTTTATTAGATAGTTTATAATATTTTTCTTATGTGTGTCTTTTGTAGCCTATTAAAAGGGAGGAAAAATGCGGGATAGACTTGCCAATGCTATTTAAGATGTTTTATTATGATATTGTTCTTTTTATTATGAGATTTTTAACCTAAATTTATTAAGATTATTAGATAGTCTTTAAGTTTGTTTTCTTATTTTTGCCTTCTATGTCCCATTCAACAAGGGTAATTACGTAGAAAAGAGAAAAAACATATAAACTAAGAAATGTTTTGATTGTATTGTTTTTCCTGATAATTAATCCTGATAAATTTCCTGATATCTGTTCTTTAAGTAGTGTATGTTCAAACGGGTTGAATGGGGGGCTGGAATGCAAGGGTGCTGCATTCGAACCCGGGACTTTTACTTTGTTATGAGCTCCGTGTCAACGACTAAACCGTTGTGGCCACTGACCCCTTTGGAACATAATTTTATGTTAATGCAATTAGATTTAAGGTTTTGTTTACACGCCTGATCGGATTTTACCATACATATCGGTTGTTTCAGATGAGGTTGATCGTCGCTCTCGTCTTTCTGTCAGGAGTAAACAGCGCAGAGGAATCAGGAGGTCGTCAAGCTAAGTCTCTCTCCTACTTCACCGACTCTTACCTGGACGGACCTCCAGTCGTGTTGGACGGCGTCGCCGACGAGTACAGCGACTACTCGGACCAGCTGGCCTCATACGCCGATGGGAACGAACTCTCGAGCAGAGCTCGACCCGGCAGACCCAAGCCCGATTCTCCCGTCTATTACATCCGCCTTCCACCCAGTCCGTACATGCTCGTTCCAGGTCTGGGGTACGTGAGCCGTCCTCCGACCCTCAGGCCTCCGCCGGTCGTCCAGCCGAGACCGCCTTCCCAGTTCATCAACCTGCCGCTGGAATTCATCTCCAACGGAAAACCGACCGGGGTGTACACCTTTCCTCAGGACTCTCCCGTCGTCAACCTCAACAAAGGGCCTTACCTCTACAACGGAAGGCCTTCGGACATCTTCCTCCTGAGGAACACCTACAACGCCCTTTACGAAGACGCCTTGCAAAACTTTTATCCCTGAAACGAAGAGATGTAGAGAAGAAATCGCAATCAAACCCCATTTGTAGAAATATTCTACACCCTCTTTTAAAATTTTTGATATAATTAAAAAAACGCGTGTATAATGTCAAAAATGAAATAATAATCGTATTTCTAAAACTGTATAAATGAAAAAAATGAGTCAGGAAAATATTACTTATTCTAAATCACACGCCAAAGCACTTTCTGCATCGTTCCTGCCTATTGAGAAAAACTCAACAACTAAAACAACCATGTACATCAAAAATAAAATAATTTTATCATAAACTAAATGAGAAACGCCTACTTTAAGCGGCATATTGAACAAATTTTATTCAAAATTAACATGCACTAGTCACTTTTTCAATTAGAACTACGGCCACACATCAAAGTGGAGGAAGTTCCTTCAAAATGTCAATTGCACTACACTCAAATTTTATTAACTTCCTATAGAAAAAAGCCCAGAAGTTTGCTTCATTTCAGAAAAATACAAATGATCGAAAAATATAATTTATTATTGACTTTGAAAAAATTTGGTAATTGTGTTCAATCGTAAAATTTTTTGTTGGTTTTATCCAAAATTTTTTCCCTGTACATATAACTAATTTTATCTATATTGTTAATGTTTTTAAACCCTTTCAAATTATCTGTATATAATATAATCCTCATATTTATAAAATGTACATTCCGATTTTGACAATCGTGTAGTTTTGGTGTTTTTTAAAATGTCAAATTTTCCTTCATTGGTTAACTTTCTAAGTCAACAACGGAAGTTAACGTGGTTCAATCATAATCCTGGGACGCGCTCATGGCTGTGGCCGCCTATCAAATGATGAAATGTGATGAATTACAATGGCAGAGAAACTATGTATGAGATATATTAAATACAAGTGGACTTGTATTAGAAATATATCTAGTCTGACTTATTTATTTGTGTAAAAACTACGAGTATATTATTTTGTAAAATAAAACTTAAATTATTTACATAATTTATTTTAATTTAATTGTAAATATTAAATGAATTTTTAAGACATTATTTAAATAAATAAACGCTCAGTTTTTATTATTTCTTTTTTTATCCAAACGAACAAAAATAAACTCTTTAATTAAGTAAAAGATTTATTATTAGATAGATTAATGAAGGAAAGATGAATCGACCGTCAGGATATCAAAAAACAAGTAAGTTTTGTAACTTATGCCAAGCTTTCAATCTTTACTGAGGTCTTCATCAAAGCTCAACAAGGAATAATAATGTTTATAATTGATAAATAATAAGTAACACAATAATTCTCAGATAACAATGGATAACTTGCTCGTCACAATGTTAAAAGTAAATATAATGATAGCGGTAAAAAACAACAGTATATATACATTCTAATAAAAAAGCACGAAAAAATAAAATATATCATCGCAATTTGGTTGAACACAATGTTTATTGTGTTTTTTTATGTTGTTTTGTTTTCACGTTGAAATTTTCTTTTTTGTGCTTTTTTATTATTGGGTTGTCCGGAAAATAATGCAGGATTTTAAGTTTTCATTAAAAAAAATCTATATAAAATATTCTGTTTACGTTTACAGGATTACTCATTNTTACCAACACGTTGGGAGAAATGTATTGAGAGTATGGGAAATTATTTTGATTAAAGAACATTGCTTTAAAGTAACTAGTTTCTTTTTTTTTTGTTTAATACCAAAATCCTGCATTATTTTCCGGACAACCCAATAGTTTTGTTGTCTGTGTTTAGTGCAGATATTTTGTCCAATTTTCTCCTTTGGTTGTTTGCTATGTTTACTGACTCGTTTTTTATGTTGCTTCCTTTTTACTTTGAAATTTTCTTTTTTGTGTTTTTTTATTAGTTTTGTTGTCTGTGTTTATTTTGTCCAATTTTTTTCTCGTGCCTTTTTTATTTGTTTCATTTTATTTTCTTTCTTTTATTGTCTTTTAATTGACTTAAAGTTGGGAAATAATTTTAGGCCAGGGCAAAAAATAATTCTAGATTAACATTTTTCACACACAAAATAATTTTTCACACAGTCACCACTTTTTTCCCATTTAGCTTAAAATTTCTGAATTTTGGGTAATGTAATTAAAGAAAAGGGGAGCTTACTAAACCAGAAGTTGTTATGAAATTTGCCAAGTTCTAATGTGAATTTTTCTAAAGAGGTTGCAAATTTAGTTATTCTTTACCAATTTTAAATTTAGCAGTTTTTGAAAGATTTAAGGGATCGTTTTCTTTCTATAACTAAGCTTAAAGCTCTATAAGGGTGCCTTCAATAAAGTATATTTGACGTTCTTTCCCATGTTTTTCCTGTATATCCCCAAAAACGAATAGTTTCGGAGCTATGAGTAGATTTATGACGAAAACCGATAGCTGAAAATAGATAGTTGAAAAAAATTTAACATCTGCGAAAAGGACCTTTTTTTTGTTGAATTTAAGGTGTAAAAGCACTTGTCGAACTTTGTCGTATGATTATTCAGAAATCGTGAGATGCGGTCTGGTGTGATGTAGGTTTCAGAAAAACATTTTCTTTATCGTGCCAACGTTTCGATCTTTATTGCGATCATCTTCAGGGCCTGGAATTTACAAACATTGTTTACAATTAGCTAATACATTTAGGATATGGAAAAGAGAATTTATACAATGCAAAATATATTTTTTATATTCAATCATGATTCATCATATTTTTCGTATGAGTAGCTAATCACCCTAAATTTATGCTTTTGACTGCTGGTCACCTATGCACCGTTTGAGCTGTAAGAAATAAAATAAAAATACTATTTGCTGTTATTTATAATGAATTCACTCCAGTAAATATTACAAATTCGCCTTGGGATGAATGTGAATCTTGGGTAAGGTAGACAATTAGAATAGCTGTAATCCGAATGGTTTTAAACAGAATAAATCCATTCAAGTAATAGTTCTTTCATGAACATAACAGTATTTCCTGTTTGCTACTGTAAAATGTTTTTAATCTTTAAAAAACTTTTACACTAAAATAAATAATTTAAAAAAATTAACGTAATGACAGTATTAATAGTAAGTTCGAGAGACTTAACATTAGAACTTGACAAATTTCATAACAACTTCTTGTTTAATAAGCTGTCTGGTGAAAACCCTTTGCTTTAATTCATGGAACCCAAAGTTCACAAATTTTATGCTAAATCGGAAAAAAAAGTGGTGTGAAAAAGAGCAATGGGGTTAATCTAGAATTCAACTTTTTGTCCTGGCCAAAATTTATTTCCCAACATTAACTCAATTGAAAGACAATAAAAGAAAGAAAATGAAATGAAACACATAAAAAAGACACAATAAATATAGCGAACAACCAAAGGAAAAATTGGACAAAATATCTGTACTAAACACAAACAAAAAACAAATAAAAAAGCACAAAACAAAGAAAAATTCGACGTAAAAAGGAAACAACATAAAACAGAAACAGTAAACATAGTGACCAGTTTTTGAAAGAAAACGATCCCTTAAATCTTTCAAAAATTGCTAAATTTAAAATTGGAAAAAGAAAAACTAAATTTGCAACCTCGTTGGAAAAATTCACATTAGAACTTGGCAAATTTCATAACAACTTCTTGTTTAATAAGATATCTGGCCCCCCTTTTCTTTTTTTATTTTATTTTATTTTTTTAGGAGGGTTCGCAACAGCAGAGATCATATAAACTCCTTTTCTTTAATTACATGGAACCCAAAATTCAGAAATTTTATGCTAAATGGGAAAAAAGTGGTGACTGTGTGAAAAAGAGCTCTGGGGTTAATCTAGAATTCAACATTTTGCCCTGGCCTAAAATTATTTCACAACTTTAAGTCAATTAAAAGAGAATAAAAGAAAGAAAATGAAATTAAACAAATAAAAAAGACACAATAAATATAGCGAACAACCAAAGGAGAAAATTGGATAAAATATCTACTCTAAACACAGACAACAAAACTAATAAAAAATCACAAAAAGAAAATTTCAACGTAAAAAGGAAACAACATAAAAAAGACACAATAAACATACCGAACAACCAAAGAAGAAAATTGGACAAAATATCAGCTCTAAACACAGACAACAAAACTAATAAAAAAGCACAAAAAAGAAAATTTCAACATAAAAAGGAAACTACATAAAACAAAAACAGTAAACATAGTGACCAACCAAATTGCGTTGATTTTTTTCGTGTTTTTTTTATTTTATTTTTTTTAATTAGGTCAGAGATGGGTGTTACAACGACTATACTGTTGTAAAATGTAAAGAGCACACAAAAATTCAACATAATTTTGTCAGTCACTATGTTTGTTGTCTCTGTTTTATGTTTTGTTTAATTTTTACTTTATATTTAGACTTCTTTTGGGGCTTTTTTGTTAGGTTAATGGAAATCAATTTTACCCAGGATAACAAGTTGAATTACTAGATTAACCTCACTCCCCCATTTCACATATTCACCACTTTTTTCACTTTTGGCATAACATTTCTACATTTTGGTTCAATGTAATTTAAAAAAACGGTATATCACATCTTATTAAATGACTTAGATGTTATAAAATTTGCCAAGATCTACCGTGAATTTTTCCAACGAGATTTCGAATTTACTTTTTCTTTTACAAATTTTAAAATTAACAGTTTTTTTAACATTTAGTGTTCGTTTTCGTACAAAATTTAAAGTTAAAACAAAATTTAACGCTTTTCTCCAAGCTTTTTTTCGTTTCCCTAAAAATGAATAGTTTAGGAGCTAATGGTTGATTTATGACGAAAACGATAGATGAAAAAAGCGTAAAATGTTGAATATCTTCGGAAGGATTGAGAATCGGACCATGGTCCATACTAAATTTTTTGTTGCGTTTGAGGTGTAGAAGCACCTGACGAACTTTGTCGTACGAATATATCACCCTATATAAATATAAATAATTATAAAAAAAGTTAAAATAAGGCATGCATCTAGGAGAAAAACACCGATTTGCATTTCCTCATGATCGAGCTGAAGCCATGGAGAAAAACGTCAGTCAATAAGGTCATAAGCCAAACATTTGTCAACCCTGTAGGAAGTCCGGTGAAAATCCATATTGAAAAGTGGTCCATTTATCAGGGATGATCACCTTCCAACCGAAGGATAAGAAGCTAATTGTCCTTCGAAGCTGGAGAGAGTCAAACTTGAAATTTGTGCTAAAGGAAAAATAGTAATCATACAATGATCTAAATTTAAAATATGGATGAAATAAATTTAAAAGCTCGGTCCAGAATCCTTTCCAGACGTCTGATGTCGCCTTTGTTAGAGAAGCCAAACTAAAAAAAATCATATCACATATACAGGGTGAATTGCTACTCGTGCTACAAACTTCTCCAGTAGATTCTTCACCCTAAAATGAACAAAAAAGTTCATATTGTCCATGGTCCGATTCTCAACCATTTCAGAGTAATTTCGCTTTTTATCGATTTTGAAAGATATCACGTCCTGGCGTCGGAAAATCGTGATATCTTTTAATCTAAACATTTCTCTGAAAATCTAATAGCACCGTTGAAATTCCCGTTAATTTTTCAATAAGAAGA